ACTAACTTAACAGTGGTTCAGTCTAATTAAAGAAGCACGAATGAATAGAAAACTGTTGTCTTTTCATTGAAGGAGTAGGGATGAAAGATGGAGAATGGGTAAGGATGGAATAGTTATCTTCCTTGTTTGTCCTCGTTCTGTCTCATTTGTTTTTCTTTTCTTTTTCTTTTTTTTTTTTTTTTCATTTTCTGGGAAAGAATGAAGAACAAGGATTAAGAAATGTAGAACATAAAACATGAATTTCTACAAAATTTTTTTCCTTTGATTTCTTTCCTCCCCTCCCCTTCCTTTCTCTTCTCTGCTTCTTTTCTTTTATCTTTTCTTCTTTCCTTTATCATTTTTTAATTTTTTGTAGATTTTTTTTGCTGCTTCTTTCCTTTCTCATTTTTTCTCCTCCTTCCTTTCTCTCCTTTTCTCTCTCATTCTCTCTCTCTTCTTTCATTTTTTCATTTTTTTTCTTTCTCAAAAGTAGTAGAATATAACATAACTTACTAAGGATAGCATTTATTGAATAGAAACCTTCTTGGGGGCATTTTATTATACAAGTAGTTATGGTTTAATTTCCTCTGAAGATGATATTATTTTCTTTCTTTGTAGATGAGTAAAGCAAAGTTAGAAAATTCAAATAATTTTCCCATAGCTTGAAAGAGATAATAGAAGGATTTTAGCTCTGTTCAATTTGACTTTAAGACCTGTAACTTATGAAATGTTCTCTAATGAGAAACTTCCCCTCATTTCACTTTCTCTTGTCCCGTGATCTTTATATTGGATTGAAATATTTTCTTTCTAGAATAATATTCAATCTTTATAAAATCTATTAATATAAACACTTAATATGTTATGTATCAAAATATATTCTGAATTTTTAAATTTATTGTTTATTTTTATTCTTTATTCATTCATTTATTCCCTTAATTATTTATTCTATTAAATTAACTCTACTAAATGCACCATTTAGTGAAGTTTTGCCCAGTACTAGGTAGCAAATTTATTGTTTATTTTTATTCATTCATTCATTTATTCCCTTAAGATTTATTGAGTGCCCATTTTGCTGGATAGATTTGCATACAAATTCTGGGAATAAGAATAATGGAACCAGGAATTTTTTTGAAGCGTCTGTTTTTTGTAAAAGATGTACTTTTTTCACTTTGTCCACATATGTAATACTGTATTTCATGTGGGTAGAGAGACTTAGTCTTCTTGATCATAGTGGGGACTTTCAGAGACCACTTCATAATGCTTTCCCATGATACTGTGAGTTGACCATTTTAAAATTATTGGTGGATATAAAAGCTTCATGAATAAAATCAACATGAAGACTGAAAATATTTCAACCAAGTTTAGAGTTGTGACCAAATCAAATGCCTATCCAAACACGGTACAAGTGTTTAAAGATTCAGTTCAATTCAATAAACATTTACTGAATACTGCCATTGTATTAGGGTGGAAGATACAAAGCTGCAAAGACTAGGACCTGGCCTTTGAGAAACTTACCCCTTGGCTGTGAAGAAAAGATAGAAAGGTATAAGCCAGATCCAAGAACTGAGAGGCAGAAATAAGGTACTTTGGGATTTCTGCCTCTCTAGCAACTGGCCTTGTGGGGCTGTGTAAGAATCAAGGCAATGCATAGAAACTCAGAGAAGTTTGATGTCTAATCAGACACAAACATGTTTATGAATATACCAACTGAAGAAGAAATGGTGCTTGCTAGGGACGTAGAAGTAGCTCATAACCAAGAAATAAAGTGAAGTAATCAGGCCTGGTGGAAGATGAAACCCAAGGCCCTGGTTTACCTAACGTACTCTACTGGCAAGGAAGCCATAATGTATATGGCCCATGGGAGCTATTGGAGCAGGCTTTCCTTACCTCTCAATTTAATATTCTTTCCATATTCTTCAGTGCCAATTTTTTGCCTTGGTTTAAAAACCCTGAGATGAAAAGAGTCTAGGGTACAGAATACCTCTCCTACTTTGTGTGGCAAGGTATTCAGCTTGTCAGATCCATATACAACTCATCTGCAAACTGGGTATAATAGGTTTTACCTTGCAAGGTTTTTGAAAGTATTTTCTATAATTCATTAGAAGCACTTAGCCTGGTGCGTGTTCTGTATTAGATGATAAAGAAATGGTAAATACTCTGTTCATTGTACCTTACTATGTCAGCTTTCTGCAGATGAGTTCTTTTACTTTTGATTTGTTTTTCATTTATGCCTATTTAGAATATTTAATTTTGGTTTTTTAATTTGTTTTTGTTGACTAATTTTCAAAGATAAATTTGGCCAGTAAGTTCGGAAATATGCAATTGCATTTACTTATAAATTAATCATTGTTATTGTTTCATAACTTATAAACAGTGCAATTTAGCTGAATAGTGTAAGATATTGGTTCTCAACCCAGGTGGCGTATTAGAATCATTGGGAAAATTTTAAAAAATGTTGGTATCCAGGCACTATCCCAAGCCATTGAATTTAGAATTTCTGGTTGTGGATCAAATTATTATTAATAACAGCTCTTTATCTCTGAAGTGGCAATAATAATACTATCTATTCAGCCTATCTAACAAAGTTATTGTGAGGATTACATAAAACTATATATTCAAAAGCAATTGATGAAGTGAGAATTGAAATAAAAATGTAAGTTGATATTAAAGCATTTTAGAAATACTCTGCTTTTGAGGGGTTTACCATTTACTTAGAGAAACAGGACAAAACATAAAAAGTTCAAGGTAACATGTCACATACTAAATGGAAGTAGCAGAGAGTAAATGTGCTGGGAATCCCATCCAAGCCACACTGGATAGGCAATCCTTAATGACTATATAGCTATGACCTTCTCTAGCACTTACTGATTATTTATACCTCAGGTTTAATGATCAAAGAACAAAAGTGATAACCTTATAGGGGCTTGAGAGGGGTATTAAGAGAGAGAAGTCTTATCTAGGGTGGTCGTCTAAAACTGCTGACCTCAAATGTTCATTCATCAAGTTATTTAACAAAATATCTATTACCTTCTATATGCCTTCTGGGCTTTTTTTTTTTTTTGAGACGGAGTGTCACTCTGTTGCCCGGGCTAGAGTGCCGTGGCGTCAGCTCACAGCAACCTCAAACTCCTGGGCTCAAGCGATGCTCCTGCCTTAGCCTCCTGAGTAGCTGGGACTACAGGCATGTGCCACCATGCCCGGCTAATTTTTTCTATATATTTTTAGTTGTCCAATTAATTTCTTTCTATTTTTAGTAGAGATGGGGTCTCGCTCTTGTTCAGGCTGGTTTCGAACTCCTGAGCTCAAATAATCCGCCCGCCTCGGCCTCCCAAAGAGCTAGGATTACAGGCGTGAGCCACCGCGCCCGGCCGGCTTTTTCTTTTTAAAGCCAGTTTGAAGAAGCAGCATGAAGTAGTGGTTAATAGGACAGATGCTTGAGCCAGAATGTCTAGGTTTGAATTCTGACTCCACAACTTTTTGGTTGTTTTATGTTGGGTAAATTCTTAACTTCACTATGACTCAATATTCTCTCTTTATATAAGAAGGATGATTATATTAATAATATTAATTCCCACAGTTGTCAAAAGAAGTTTAATATGTTAGTAAGTGTAAAGTGCTCTGAACTGTGCATGGCCATAATAAGAGATGTGTGTTTGTTAACATCTTTGCATTATATTCTGTGATATTCTTCATTTATTTTAATATGAAGATAATGTTTTAAATTAATTATTACCATATGAAAATAGCATTCAAAACACCTGATATGTCCTTCTTCCAAGACATACTCAAATATGTGAATATCAGTTTTCCAAGGCACCATCTTATTTGAGATTGGTCATTTGCAACAACATGGATGGAACCTAGAGAATATTATGCTAAGTGAAATAAGCCAGTTATGTCTGTTGATCTATTGCACAACATGGTGACTACAGTTATTTAATAATAATAATAATGCATGTTTCAAAGTAGCTAAAAGAGTAGATTTTAAATATTCTCGCCACACAGAAATGATTTTTGGGTGATGGATATGTTAATTAGCTTGATCATTCCACAATGCATACACATATCAAAACAGTATATTATACTCTATAAATATATACAATTATTTTTCAATTAAAAATGAAACTTAGAAAGAAGATTGGAAAAAGGGTTAGAAGACATAATGAGGGAAGTGCAGAAAGCAATGAGAACATTTATACCAGTGAGATCTCCCCTAGTTTCGGGTTAGAGAACTCTAGAGTAGTGCTTATGATGAGACCTTAAAGATGAATAGAGTTGGTGATGTGAAGAGCTTGGAGGCTGTGGCGTGTATGGAGGTGGGTTGTGTGGAGACTGAGAGTGTTCCAGAGAAAGAGAACACAAATCAAAAGCTTATTTAAAACTCTGTGACCTTATCAGTGAACAAAATATCCAACATCTCTTGAGTGTGGAGGGGCAGAATATACTGATATGTTCTAGGGCTCTTAACACCCACAACAGTGGGATGGGTACAGAATAAGAAATTGACCTTGTGCTGGAAGAATGTTCTCAGGTGATTGCAACACTAGCAGAAAGGGAGGGGTATTTAGTTCTGAGGCAGTGCAGAGCAGAAAGAAACCAGTTTTTCTTAGGGGGGTTTGGTGAGAGGAAAGGTGAGGGATTTCAAAACTCTGGTTGGCATTTGGCATGATTCTTTTTTTTCCCTTCCCATTTTATTATAATCCTGTCCTTGTGTTCCAGAATGAATGGCTATTTAATATACAACCCAAAACACTCCTAAAATGGAACTTATTAGCATTCAAGTCTCCCATTTCTTGCTCAGTATATTAAATCAAAAGAGAACAAAATTTCTTAAAAAAAAAAAAATCAATAGGTTTAGTTTATCCCAGGAAAACAGCTTTACAACAGGAAACTAAATGTGTCAGGAATCTGACCAAAAAGGAAGAACAGGTTGAGACTTGCAGTGTTGTAGGTCCAGGTCAGGGTTTTGTGTAGTTTCTTTTGTCCTTAACTGTGTGTTGACACTTGCCTTATTTGTTCAGCTAGGATTGTGTCTAAGCAGAGCCTCTGCATCTGTTCTTAACCTCAACTGCAGTCTTATCCTTTTACCCATGTGTCGAACACTCCTGGCTTACCTGCGAGGATCCCAGAAGGTAAGAAAAAAAAAATTCCTACTTGCAGATTCCAGCATATAAATCAAATGTAATAGTTACATATTAGTTCTGCTTAGTTTTCATGGTCTGACTTTTGGCTAGAGTGATTTCTTCAAAGGTGATGTCAAAGGCCACATCACCTGTCAAGATGATCAGTGAGCTATATTCTACAACACTAGATAAGGGCAGAGAATAATAGAAATATTAACAACAGTGGTTTCAGGCACTGTGCTCAGCACTTCACCGTATGTAATTGTGAATCCTTACAATGATTCTGCAATCAGGCGTTGTTCCATTTTACACACGAGGAACCTGAGGCATAGAGAGTTTCAGTAACTTGTGCAAGATCATGAGCCTAGTGAATGGCAGAACTAAGATCAGACCCAGTTCTGAGATCTTTCCACTATGCTATGCCTCATTGAGATCCTATATTTTCATTTAGCTAAATCCAGGTGAGCAAACTAGAACCTTGTAGCCTTTGAGCAAATACGTAGAATGATTGCTGGTGTTGGTAATTTAACTCTGCTTAACACACATACCCATTTTGTATGAAACAGGCTTGAAAAAGATGCTTTGATTAAATAGTGAGGTCATGTGTGATATTTAGTGTTGTAAAATGAAGGAAGTAAGACAACAGAAAAACACTTAGTTGTTCTGTTAAAACTCAAGTAAAATTTTATTTTTGTCTTCAGTTATTTTTGTGTGAGAGTGTGTGTGCATACATGTTAATTTTTCCGCTAAGATAGTAAGACAGTGCTGAATAGATACTGATATTTTAAAAGGAGCTGTTAACTTGAGGTCACTTTGATGTTCTGTGAATTTCATGTGTGCAGATTTACTCTAGTAAAACTTCTCAACCTTTTTATGTAATTTTATTTGGAAACTCTACTTTTAATGTGGTAATTTGTGAAAATAACTCTTTCTGTAGGTTGCCTACCATTGTAAAATGCTAGGTTTTGGTCCCTGTGGCTGGCCATTGGCATGGTGTGAAGGAGGACAAGATAAGTGGCAGGCAAAGAAAAGTTCCCCCTAAGTCTCCCAGTATTTAATAATCTTTAAAAAATTGTCCCCAGTGTGAAACAGTGATTGAAAGATGCTTGACATTTTATTTTGTTGTAAGAGCATGCAGGCATTTAAAACCATAGATGAGATTCCTTCATTTAAAAATAATTGTATTTTTTGACTACAAAAGGAAATAATATGTATTTTAAAATTCAAACAATCCAGAAATATGCAGAATGATCAAAATTTTCCCTAATCTTACTCTGCAAGAACAACCACTGATGACAATTTGGGGTAAATGCCTGCAGTTAACATATAATGCCATTAATGTTGAACAGTGTAGGATCATAGTGTAGTTTATGTTTTGTAACTTTTTTCACCTAACAATATATCTTGCACATCTTTCCATATCAATAATATAGCCTTCTCACATTCTCTTTAATGGCTTGGGTGTTCCATTGACTAGATATATCATAATTCATCTCACCAATTTTTTATTGATAGGCTTCTGCCATATTTCCAAAATTTTAATGTTATGAACAATCCTATAGTGAAAAACCGTGTCTGTATATCTTATTTGTTGCATGATTTTTATTTAGGTTCCAAGCAGGAGAACCAGAAGATTGTTGGATAAAAGCAGAACATTCCATATAACCTGTGGTGTTACTATCTGTATTTTCTCAGGTGAGAAAGCTAAAAGATGTTAAATATATTGTTAGAAATACACATTTTATGAATGATTAAAGGTGTAATTTTGTCTTATACGTTATCTGCTGTCACCAACTTGAGATTTTCTTATTAAGTAGCTTAGTGTTCTTTTCCATGTGTTTAAAGAGGTTTGTCTGGGGAGAACTACAGAAAATGGGTATGTCTTATGATTTTTTGCACTGTAATATCCAAAAGTTTGCCCCCAAGCTGATAATGACTATTTCCTGAAAGTAAATAATGTCATTTAGAAAGATTGGAAGAAACACACTGAAAGCTTTCAAGCTCTGAAAGTAATGCTATGATGTGAGTTTGCATGCATGAAAATCAGAATGTCAAATGTTCATTCATAAGAATATGATTCCATTCAGAATTATATTTGATAAATGTTTCTTTGATATTAATGCTCGGTTAGAAGAAAAAATGTCAAAATTTGTGAAATTATATCCTGCTCTTTTCCCAGTTAAAAAATAAAGTGAGAGTCTGTTACTAAGAGTCATTTTAAAATATATTTTATCCTGAAAAGTATATGATACTTTTCAAATTTTTGAAACAGAAAGTAATAAACATAGTGATTAAGTATATGCCCCCTGGAGACAGCTTACATAGACTGTATCTCCAGTTACCCTTCTGCTTTGCAGTGTAATGTCACCTCTCTGATCTTTAGTTTGTTGTTTTTTTTAACTGTAAAACAGATTGACAGTAGCACCTACCTCATAGTTTTAAGGACAAAATGAGAAAATGAATATTAAGCTCTTAGGATAGAATTATTTATTATAATTTACAATCTCAGGTGTTAATTATCCTAGTGGCATAGCACCTGACATTTTCACCTGGCCATTATTTGATATGACATAGCTGTTTTGATACTAAGGTCATTTTGACTGGACATTTATATGTGGCCATTTGACTCAGGAATATTTCAATATGGCTATTGCCAAGAAATCATTAAACTTTCAGCTTTGTGAAAATTTCCAAGCATTGTTGAAATAGACATCTTCACTGTTTTGTTTCTGAACATCTTCCCATTGGCAGTGTCCCTCCCCAGAGGTGAGAGATGGTGAGAGGCTCAGAGATGGGATTAGGACTTTAGTGAGGATAAGGACCAAGGGTGTGGTAAGTGTTAGGGATAGATTAAGGGTAAGGAAGGTGGAAGGTCAGAAATGGTAGAGGATCAGAAAACTTTGGCATATTCATTACTTGATTTTTTCTAAAGAGTAATCATGTCCCAATATTCTGGTTCAGTTGGAAAACAACCAAGAGACCAAGAATGTAGAGTATTGTCATGAATGAGCTTGTGTTCCAGAGGGTTTACATTCTGCCACTCACTAGTGGTCTGACTTTGACTGAGTTACCTTTTTTTACCTTCCTTTTCTTATCTCTAAAATAGGGATGATTCTATCAACTTCATTGTTTTGTTGTGAGAATTGAATGAGAAAATCTATGCAAAGTATTTGGTGTACCTTCCTCCCTGCTGCCTAAAATCAGAAGACCTGAATTCTTTTGATTTAAAAGGCCCTTTAAAGAAGGTGACTATATCCCTTAATGATGCATTTCTTATAGGTATTACCTATAATTTTTTTTTTAAGGGAACTGAAAAATAATAATTATTCTTCTAAAGATGCCTTTGTATTTTTGAATCATAAAGTATATAGTTAACATAAAAGCTTTTAATTTAAAATGAAGGCTTTTTTTATTGTAGATTTTGTTATTGATGAAGCTATATATCACAGACAGTTTTGCTTAAATAATGTTGTATACCTGTGCCATAGTTGAGTCACACCTAAACACTCTTTGTTTTACTTGTTCGGAATCCTGTCCTTGCTTGTTAGTTAGTCCACTTCTATCTTCCTGTCCATTTTTTCTCTTAAAAATATATTTTTTAAATACTTTATTTTTTAGAGCATATTTAGGTTCACAGCAAAATTAAGAAGAAGGTACAAAGATTTCCCATATACTCCTTACCTTCACACATGCATAGCCTTTCCCATTATCAACATACCCCACCAGACCGATACAATTTTTTACAATTGATGAACCTACATTGATTGACACATCATTATCACCTAAAGTCCATACTTTACATTAGGGTTCACTCTTGATGTTGTACATTCTATGGGTTTGATAAATGTGTAATTACATATATATTAGCCATTATAGTATCATATGAAGTAGTTTCATTGCTCTAACAATCCTCTGTGCTCTACCTATTCATCCCTTCCTCTCTGCTAACCCCTGACAACCCCTGATTTTTCGCTGTCTCCATAGTTCCGCCTTTTCCAGGATGTCTTATAGTTGGAATCATACAATATGTAGCTTTGTCAGATTGACTTCTTTCACTTAGTAATGTGAATATAAAATTCCTCTGTGTCTTTTTACAGCTTAGTAGCTCATTTCTTTTTAGTGCTGAATAATATTCCACTGTCTGGATATACCATTATTTATCCATTCACCTTCTGAAGGACATCTTGGTTGCTTCCAAGTTCTGGCAATTATGAATAAAGCTGCTATAAATATTCATGTGCATGTTTTTGTGTGGGCATAAGTTTTCCACTCCTTTGGGTAAATACTAAGGAGTATGATTGCCAGATCATATGATAAAGAGTATGTTTAGTTTTGTAAGAAACCACAAAACTCTCTTCCAAAGTGGCTGTACCATTTTGCATTCCCACCAGCAGTGAATTAGAGTTCCTGTTGCTCTACATCCTCACCAGCATTTGGTATTGTCAGTGCTCTAGATTTTGGCCATTCTAATTGTTATGTAATGCTATTTCATTGTCATTTTAGTTTGCATTTCTCTGATGATACATGATGTGGAGCATCTTTTCATATGCTTATCTGACATCTATATATCTTCTTTGGTGAAATGTCTGTTAAGGTCTTTGGCCCATTTTTCAATTCGGTTGTTTGTTTTCTTATTATTGAGTTTTAAGGGTTCTTTGTATAATCTGGATAACAATTCTTTAACAAATTTATCTTTTGCAAATATTTTCACAGCACAGTCTGTGGCTTGTCTTTTCATTCTCTCGACATTATCTTTTGCAGAGCAGAGGAGATATTTTTAATTTTAATGAAGTCCAGCTTATCAATTCTTTCTTTCATGGATCATGTTTTTGGTGTTGTACCTAAAAAATCATTGCCAAACTCAAGATCATCTAGATTTTTTGCTGTGTTTTCTTCTAGGAGTTTTATAGTTTTGCATTTTACATGTAGGTCTCTGATCCATTTTAAGTTAATTATATTGAGATTAATTTTTTTTTGTATATGAATGTTCTGTTGTTCCAGCACTATTTGTTAAAAATAATTTTTTCTCCATTGTATTGTTTTTTATCAAAGATCAGTTGACTGTATTTATGCGGTTCTATTTCTGGTGTCTCTTTTCTGTTTCATTGATCTATTTGTCTTTTCTGTTACTAATACCACACTGTCTTGATTCCTTTAACTTTATAGTAAGTCTCGTACCTGTCTACTTTTTATGAGACCTTTTCCCCACCTTTAATTTGATCACCTGAAGGAGCTTATAAGTCTTTTAAATTACTTTTAGGATATTTAGCATTCTAGTCCTCTCTCACTTTCATTGGCCTTTGAACTCCTTTCCTCTCTACATCTCATATTCTAGATCGTAGGGGATTATAGAGTTGTCTAGACTCCAAGCCATGTCTTCTTTTGAATCTCTGTACTTCCATACATTGTTGTAAACAGTAATGGTTTACTAAGCAATTTTAAATCACTTATCTCATTAAGTCTCTCATTTCTGTCACCATCATTTTACAGAGAGGTAAACTGAGGCTCTGGAAGGCAAACAATATAGCCAAGATCACAGGTTTTCCAGCAAGTTATCTCATGTTCTTATCTGACATCTATATATCTTCTGTGAAGTAGCATACTGCTACTTCACTCACACCTTATTCTGCCTATGAATAAAAGTTGGGAAAGGTGGCGGATGTGATCGGCCAGTGTTCAGATCACTTGCTCCTGCCTTCCCAACTTCCTCAAGATAATTTTCTTTTTCCCTCACTGTGCCAAAATGAGTTTGTCTTCAAATCTCTAAGGAGCTCTGAGTCAGTTGAGCACTGTTTTTTACTGTGAATATTGTTTTCCTGGATTTTTGTCCCATGAAGTGATTCTCAACAATTTTGCTATTGGATTAAGGACATTATTTTTAACATTTGCAGAGTGTGAAAAATTTGAACTGGTTAGAAGCCTTTCGATGGGGCTATATATTAGGTTGTGGGGCAGTGAAGTATACAAGATATATAGCAGGTTGGGAGCCATGGGAGAGGTGAAAGACATAGAATACCTAAAATATCAAGGAGCTGCTTAAGTAAATAAATAAGTACCCATATTATCAGACACACGTTTATGTAAATGTTCATATGGGTGGGTGGGTGGCTGTGTATTTTTTTTTTTTTTTTTTTTGAGACAGAGTCTCACTCTTTTGCCTGGCTAGAGTGAGTGCTGTGGCGTCGGCCTAGCTCACAGCAACCTCAAACTCCTGGGCTCAAGCGATCCTCCTGCCTCAGCCTCCCGAGTAACTGGGACTACAGGCATGCGCCACCATGCCCGGCTAATTTTTCTATATATTTTTAGTTGTCCAATTAATTTCTTTCTATTTTTTTAGTAGAGACGGGGTCTCGCTCTTGCTCAGGCTGGTTTCGAACTCCTGAGCTCAAACAATCTGCCCGCCTCGGCCTCCCACAGAGCTAGGATTACAGGCATGAGCCACCGCGCCCGGCCATGGCTGTGTATTTTTTTTTTCCTTAACCCTGACTTACTAGGGTAATCTCATTCCAGTCTTTGAAAATTTGGTAAATTGACTATACTCAAGTGTTTGTGTGTGTGTGTGTGTGTGTGTCTTTAAAACTTCAATTTTCAACTTAATATTTCATTGTTCACATAAGCGGTCAAATTTGATCCTGCATTTACTTAGAGAGAGGATCTGACTCCTGGCTGTAGAGCATATATGAAAATCCCACTGACTCGTGCCTGGTGTGATTCCGTAGGTGTGCACGTGGCTGCCCATCTGGTGAACGCCCTCAACTTCTCAGTGAATTACAGTGAGGATTTCGTTGAACTGAATGCAGCGAGATACCGAGATGAGGTGGGTGGTCTCTGTCTTCCCATTTTCCTTTCATTTGTGTGATGACTAACGAGGGTCTGTGATTTTCACAGAAAATTTGTACCTTGCTGCTCCTTTTGAGTGCTTTTAGAATGCAGTTGTCAAGTTGAGTTTTATTCCTTTTCAGTAGAAAATATAGGTAATTACTATTTCATAGTCTCTCCTGCTGAAAATGGGAGTTTGCAGAGTGTCTACATTTTACATTCTGTGTGTTCAGATGGTTGCCACTCAGGCCTATCTTCTGACTCCCAACAGCTTTCGTCTAATTCCTATCATCCAGCTGAGAGTGTCAGCCGTGCCATTTCAGGTTAAAAATACTTTAATAACTTATGTACTGTGCTTGAGGGAAAAGGGCAGCAAAGTAGATTGATTATTTGTGAATCCTGATAAATCAATTTATTTGACTTAAAAAATATTAGTGAGATTTCATGATTCCTTCATTGTTTTTTTTTTTTTTTTGAGACAGAGTCTCACTGTATTGCCTGGGCTAGAGGCCTAGCTCACAGCAACTTCAAACTCCTGGGCTCAAGCGATCCTCCTGCCTCAGCCTCCCTAGTAGCTGGGACTACAGGCATGCGCCACCATGCCCGGCTAATTTTTTCTATATATTTTTAGTTGTCCGATTAATTTCTTTCTATTTTTAGTAGAGACGGGGTCTTGCTCTTGCTCAGGCTGGTCTCGAACTCCTGAGCTCAAACAATCCGCCTGCCTCGGCCTCCCAGAGTGCTAGGATTACAGGCATGAGCCACTGCGCCCGACCCCTTCATTGTTTTTTTAAATCCTCTAAATAAGTGTCCTTTAGCTGAATTCTGTAGTGAGCAATACCTGACATGGTGCTTTTCTCCATGTGAACCCACCCATGAAATGAACTTGTATGTGCCTGGTACTGAGCCAGCACCTGATGGACAGCACGTTTACAACCCCGGGTGGGTCTCTCTTGCTTCGTACTTTTATACTGTCACCAGGCTCCCTTTGTTTCACAATGCCAAGACTGCATCAAACCCAAACTGCTCTGTGTCCCACTTCATCATAACTCCCCCATCCTGCCCACTAAGTTTGGTAGTGACTGAATAGGATTGTTCTCCATCTCCCCCAAGTCCATTCTCTCCTCACATATTAACCAGAATTTTCTAGGTTAATACTGCTGTGATCATGTGCTTGACCTTCTTCTCAAAATAAAACAAAAGGAAAAATAACAACAAACAAACACAAAACCAAAGTAGCAGGCAACCTTTGATAAATCCCTTGCTTCCACTGGTATTTTTAAAAATACCAGTATGAATTTACCCATCTCCTCTTCCCCCTTTCCCACCTAATGGGTATAATGCACACTATCTGGGGAATGGGCACACTTGTGGCTTTGACTCAAAAGGTACAGGGGCAATTTATGTAACTAAACGTTTGTACTTCCATAATATTCTGAAATTAAAAAAGAATATATGATTTAACTGGTGTGGGTTGAGGCCTAGAAATTGATATTTTTTTAAAGTTCAAGAGGTTTGTAGAGTTTACCAGTATTGAGAACCACTGAAAAATCCAGCTCCTTAGTATGCCAGTAATAGCTCTTCCCAGGTAGTGATTTTGGACCCAGCCACCACTTCTGCCCGTCTCCTACTCTCTACCTCCATCCGTCTGTCATCCTGCTCTCTGCTCATATCACTAGGGTTACTTGTTTCCTGCTCCTGCTACACAGTTTCCTTTGCTTTTCTTTTCCTTCTTTGCTTTTCTTTTTAGAATTCATATGTCTTCAATAACCATAATGTTTTTCTCATTCTAATGCAATATACTTTTGCTTAAGTTTCAATATTTTTCATCGTTTTAGGATTTTCAGGGATTAAATTTATTTTCTTTTGAGAGTGATAACGTGCACAATATAAAATATTTGAAAACTCTAAAGTAAATGAAGTTAAAAGTGAACGCTTCTCCAAAAGCAACCACAATTTATTTATGTTTTCTTCTAAGCTATTTTGAATGGTCTTTTATAATACATATTCCTCTGCGATTTACTTGTTTCCATAAATATACATATTGCTGTCTTGCTCTATCAGACTATATAGGTCTATCTCATCCTCTTCATATGAATATGTCATAATTTGTGTCTCATTCACAGACATTTAAGTTGATACCACGTTTTCATTATGAATCACACTCCATCCAGTAAACTTACTTCTTTGTACACTTCTGCTGCACAGATTCATAGATACAGAATTTTGGCTGAAAGGTATGCACATTTTAAATTTTGATGGGCAGTGCCGAATTGCCTTTTAAAAAGGCTTCTTCAGTTTACACACTGTACCAACAGTGTATCAGAATGCCTATTTCTACACTTCATCTCTGGTTTTGGTTTTGATTTTTTTTTTCTAGTTAGATGGATGAAAATGGTAGCTCATTGTTTTAAGTTATATTTCCCCTTTCTTTAATTCTTTCTTTCCTTTGTTCCTTCCTTTGTGTTTTCTTTTATTCTTTATCCCTGTTTTCTTTTAGTAAATATGTATTTAGCATCTAGTATGTGTAGGACAATGTGCTAGATGTAGATGAAAATAAAAGTGTATGTATATATACTTATATGTGAATATGTATTTAAATATCATATACACTTTTATGGTATATGTATATAATAAACGGATATATTATTCTGTGAATTGCCTTTGAAAAGGATGGTGTTGTGCCATATACCCTGTTGTTCTTGCTTTGTGCTTTCACTCTGCTTGCAGTGACACATCCTCCAGCTTGTGACTGTTGTGTACTCCCCAGCTATATCTGCCTTGTCATCTTTGAAACCACCTCTTACCCTCACATTCCATCTTCTCTCCCTGGTGGTATTAATTGTTCTATCTTCTGGGTTCCGTAGTTATTTATTTATGTTTCTAGTTATTACCATTTTGTTTAATCCATGTTATACTTTTCCTAGTTGTTTATATATTGAGTTTCTCTAGATTACCCTTTAGCCGTGTTTCTAATACCAAGAATGTAAATCAATTGACCTAAGCTGGGTGAGAAGCTATTCCTGGACAAGTGGTCCTTGTTCAAAGCCCCTGAAATTACACTATATAAATAGCTTCCTACTTAGTATATAGACTGACCCCAGAGTCACTGGGGGCATAAGGAAAGGAATTCAAAAGCTCGTGCAATATTAAGCACAATGAAGATGAAAAATAAATCCTCAGATCTACTGGGGATTGATTTGAGTTTTCCAGAAGGTAGAACAAAAGTTGACTATAGTCTATTACAGCATGAGAGATGTAGTTTAAATAATACTATAATAATATTAATGCATCATATTTCCAAATAGCAGAAACCTATCCCTATTTGAATATCTTTCCATCCTTCACTGTATTTAACACATAGTAAATTCTCAGTCTTCTTTGCACTGACTTTACAGTGTGCAAACTCCCTATATATTTTATCAGTTTTCATTCTCACTGTCTTGACACCTTGTAGGTACAGTTTGGCAATTTTGGCAGAGAGAGTATATAGCAATATTTTGACATTATAGCTAAAGGGATTGAGTCTCTCAATGGTTAGAGTGGCCTTCAAACACACTACCACTAGCTTTTAAGTAGCCATTAAGATTAAAACCGAGGCCTTTTGAGTCCAGCATTCTGCCTTTCTCAGATAGACAGACTTTTCTGAGTTGGATTTTTTTACTGGTTATAATCTCCTCTAGCTTTGTGAAGAAGTTATGAAACTTAACTGAGTCTCTCTCATTGAGGAACAGTATCTTCCATGCCCAGTATATGACTCATGTACCCTGCATATTCCTTGTAGAATTATATATCATTGGTGTTTTATTTTTCAGTCAATTTTTTTTCCTTTTTCTCAGGATCCTAGAAAACTTCTCTTCATGACTGGTAAGTTGTTATTCTTAGCTCTTTATTTAGATTCAGGAACATGTTTGAAAATAAGCATTGCCAAACTGCACAACAATTAGATACTTGTTAAAATATAATGTGGAAAATTTGTATATCAGAGCAATATTAGGAGATCAGGCATAAGGTTGCAATGAGTACAGAGAAGAGGGACAAGGGAAATAGTTGGGGTTTGAATGAATGGAGAGTAAAAGTAAGAAAACAGGTTTCTAGGTCATATGTTCTTCCAGTGAAAAGAATGTAACTCCCTGCGTCTTTAGGGCCTGCTCTGTGCCTGCTGCTATGGCAAGTGCGGTGGGAGATAGCACCGCATGTAATGGGTTTCTGCCCGCCAGGTGTTGGAAAGAAACACCAGGCACTTTGGATATCAGTGTAGTTCTTATTGTTACGGCAAGTGTCACAGCGACCGGTCCCAGAGGAATAACCGAGCGGCACGCAGAGAGTCGGAGAGTCAGCAATTTTTATTGCCGGCGGCCCAGATGAGGACAAGCCTCCAAATTCTGAGCACCTCTTCCTGGTTTTTGTCAGGTTTTATACTTTTTTTGGGGTTAGTCTTAACAAATCACACACAAGCATAAATGGTTAACCAATTAGTAAAAGGATTCAAAAGTTAGCCGATAAACAGTAATTTTTACAAGCAGTACAGTTATGATAGGCTTATAACTAAGAGTACAATAATGACAGGTTGATAGCTTCACTTAACTGTTTTGCGGTTTTAGCTTACAAGGCTGACAGGTGTCAGCTTCTACTTTAGCTGCTTTGTGGTTTTAAGCAGAACCAGCATGGAAATTCCCCTAGGATGCATAGAAATTTCCCTAACATTATAATTCATTAATTTAGTAGGACTTTTTGTGACCTTCCTTAAAACCTATAAAAAAAGAGGAGGAATAGCCATTAAAGTAAGTTATTTTTCTTGAAATGTGTCTCCTATTTCATTTGTAATTTATTTTTCCTTCTCAAGCTTATTGTCCGTGACATCTCAGTCTAGACTATTAATTTGTTAAAGCTCCTTTGTACATCTCAAAATTTTCTCCTTGTGTTAGACAATTCTTACTAAAATTCTTCTCTTTCCCAACCTTACATTTATAAAGACGAATGGAGAAAGCTCCACTTTGGGGATTTTTAGCCACATATTTCAAGGATAAGGACGATTGGGTAGTTGAGATGATCTGTCATGAATGTTTGGCTGTAATACCTTATTAAGGATCAGAATTGCACATGGGACTGAGGCACATTACCCTGTCAAATGCCTTGTTTTTTTTCTGAGTCAATTTTATGATGAAAAATAGTAATTCTGATGCTTTCCCCATCCATGTCACAACTATATATTTAGATTTATAAAACATATTTTGGTTTTGCCTGTAGGTTTCTGATATTTGCCATTATAAAGTATTTCACAGTTTTTTCTTTAGGAACACAATTTAGCTTGGTTTATAACTTTGCTCATTGAAAACATGTTTTTTCTTTAAGCCTCAAGAACTGGGATGAGAAATATGAGGGGAAAAAAAGCAGGAAAACAAAACCTTCTGTATGAATCAATGTATTTTTTGGTTCATATGAATTCATTTAAGAGAAATAAACAAGAACTTTGTTTTAATACTATTTTCTACAGCACAAAGTTTAATGGAAGCCTTGGAACATTTAATATACTTTCAAAAGTTTAGTTTACAAAGACATAAAAAGATTTGTTATGTGACTAAGATACTACATTAAGATATTTAGTATAATTAATACTTCTATGTAAGCAAGTGATCTCTCTACCTAGCATGAAATTCCACCATCCCATGTTCCTTCCCAGAGGTCCCCATGCATGGTATTGGACTAAGCAGAGAAGATACTTAAATTGAACTTCCTGGCTCCATCTCAGAGAGTCTCTGGGAGAGACTTGGCAGTGTGTTTTACTAACCTTCCCAGGTACCTCCAGAGTTAACTGTTCTACACCTCCTGAACATCTTATCATACTCTTGAGCATACCTTCTCACTACTACCTGCCTTTTTCCTGAAATAGCCTCTCTTTTGTTCACCTGGTGAATGCTTTCTCCTCCTTGAAATTACAACCGACATGCCCCATCATATACAAATTCCTCCCTAATTCCACTAGGCAGAGTTGGTCTTTTCTTGGTCTGGGTTCCTAAAGCTATGTAGTACAGTTAGCCTTCCATGTCTGTGGGTTCTGGATCCACAGATTCAACCAACCATGGATGAAAAATATTTTTAAAAAAGCAATAAAAATAACAATACAACAATAAAAATACAAATAACAATGCGACATAACAATTATTTACATAGCATTTTGATTATATTAGGTATTATAAGTAATTTAGAGATGATTTAAAATATATGGGAGGATGTGTGTTGATTATGTGCAAATACTATGCTATTTTAATAAGGGACTTGAGCATCCTTGGATTTTGGTATCTGGGAGGGGTCCTGGAACCAATCCCCCATGGACACCAAGAGATGACAATAAAAGTACTGTGTTGTGAAATGGTTTATTTGCTTACATATACTGTCTTTTCCACTTGTAGGTGAGCTTCTCTGGAGTGGGGAAGGGCTGCCTCTAGGGTATGCAGGGTTTCGGGCACAAATTTTTTGTAGGGCATCTGTCCATATAAACAATTTAAGTCACCTCAAAGCAGCAAGCGAACATCATTTTGTTGTTCCAGTCTCATATAATTTCAGGAAAGAAATACTGTGCAGGAGTCGTCCCCCGTTCAGATGTTTTGCCCAGAACTGGGGCTCAGACACAGGGCTCCCTACCTGTGAGTCTGGAGCTCCTAGGGCATCTGTTTGACCCCACCGAATAGTAGCAGGTGAGAGAACAAAGGGGAATCTAAGGGTGGTAATGAGACGAGAGATGCTATTTTCTACCAATGGACTTAATCCAGTTTTGTCTTGCTAATAATGACTAAAATTAGTCCACAGCCATCTTTCAATGTTCTCAGGCACGGCACTTAGGGAAAATTAAGTTCCTAATGAAGGAAAGCATAAAGAATATTTTTATTAGTTAAGAGATTTCTTGGATTTTAGTTTCTTTAATGTTACATAGAGTCTTCTATCTCTGTGTGTTTAAATTTGTTTCAATGTAACCTAGTACTGAGAAATTAAGATTGTCCTGTAGAAAATAATGCCTTTGGCAGTACAAATGACATAAAATATGGTAGCTAAACTTGCTACATTAGAAATGATAAAAACATTCCAATTAAGAATTTGTAAAATAAGTTTAATAGATTGAATTATCCAAACATTCATTTGAAAATGCTTACTACGTATCTCCAAATTTGGTAATAACTTATATGGTAAGAATGAAATGTACAATATCTAATTTTAATTAGAAAAAGCCTTCATAAACCAATATAATTATGTTTCCAATTATGTTAGAAAAATAGGATAATGAATAGATGACAGTGTATTTCTGACCACATCTTGTTATGGATGAAAATGCTCTCTTATATTCTTCTAGAAATGGTAGAATAGTGCAATTATTCATTTTAAAGGCCACTAATTAATGAATCTAATATTCATAAATAAATCAAAGCAAGAATAAACATATAAGCATGTATTTTCCCAAGGAAATAAGTATAGCTTTGGCTATACTGTGAAAGTCTCAAAGAGTTCACAGGAAAGTCAGTGTACTTCACTTGGGCAAGGAACTTTGCCCAGTGAGATTAGACCGGCCCACTGATTGCCAGCCTTTGTTTCCTGACTCTTGGAATGTGTAGTAATAGAGGCTAATATATTGAGACTGAGCTGAGCTGTCATTCAAGGCTAGGATAGGGTGCCCTTTGATATACCCTAAGAGTGCTCAATGCTTAGCTCTTATACAGTACTTAATACCCTATGTTACAATGGCCTGCTAAACCTTTCTGTTTCCCCTACTGGACTCGGATTTTTTTTTTTTTTTTAAAAGCAGCATTTATTTTATTTCTAACACTTAACAGCACATTGTAAAGATGCCTCCAAGGAGTTCACTAAATGAATAAAAACCATTTTTTTTGCTCTTTTATTTGATGCATAGACCTTCTCTACAACATCTCAGATAATATGTTAGCCATCCTCTGCTTGTTTACTTCCAGTGACAGGAATTTGTGGCTTCTCAAGGTAGTGACCCCCACCCCCTTCTTTTTGACCACTCTAATTACAGTATGTCTTTTTTCTTTTTCATTACTAATTGTCAGTTATTGTTCTTCATTGATCTGAAATCTATTACTTTATAAATTATAAACTTCGGTCTTTTACATTTTTGGGAGATGAGAATGAAAAACAAATTCTTTAGAAAAAAGAGATAACATCCTAAATCAAAAGGAACATTAGAAATCACTAAATTTATTTTTAGTTTACAAATGAGATTCAGTGAGCTGGGAGTTCTGCCAAAGGAACAGTAAGAGTACCGTATTCCAAGATGATGTGTACCACTGCTTGGGTTGTCTGGGGCTTCTACTTTATCTTCAAATGACTGAAGTCAACTATTTCACCTCTGCTAAATTTTTCCAGTATGTTTTCCATGTTCTGCTCTAAAAGGAGTTCTCTTGTCAAATAAGTTTGAGGAGATATTTAAGTTTAAACAGGTTTCTTGACTTTAGTACTTCTCAGAGACTTTAATACATAAATGTACTTTGTGACTTCTTGAGGAATGGTTATGGCATTTTTAAGTAATATAAATTAATATCTGAAGTAACTAATTTTCAGATAATACATTTTGGAAATTATAGCTCTATTCTAAACATACCCAGTTTTTTCAGGTGTTCTTCCAATGAAGTAATTTGCAGACATTCCGTGACTAATCTTGGCATGTTCAGAGCCACATAGGAAACCTTGTATATAGACACAGTAGAACATCAATAAAGGGCCAATAAAAAATTGGAGAGGCCCCTCCAACCACAAATTTCACACTATATAGCCATCTGGGATTCTGTCATTTAATTATTCATTTGGTCAAATAAAGGTCTTTTAAACATTTTTTAGATTATTTGAAACTAGAGAGACTGACCTCCTTTTTTATTTCCTTAAAATTTATTGAATTGTAGTTGCAGTACACTAAATTATACATATATAAATTATACAATTTGATTGATTTTTAACATATATGTATATACACATGTGGAACTTTCACCAAAATCAAGATAACTCAATTTTCATTACCACCAAAGGTTTTTTGTGCCGCTTTCTAATGCATTCTGCCTTCTGCCCTTCCTAGCAACTGATCTGCTTTCTACCACTAAAGAAGAGTTTGAATTTTCTAGAATGTTGTTTTAAAGGAATCATAGAATTTGTACTTTTAATGGGATAATGTGGTTTCTTTTATTCAGTCTAATAATTTTGTGATTCATCTATATTGTTGCTTAAACAGTTCATAGATTTTTATTGCTGATGAATTTTCCAGGTATAGGTAGTACCACAATTGTTTAGCCATTCTATTGATGGAGATCTGAGTTGTTTACAGGTGCTGATTATTAAATATAAAGCAGCTAAGAACATTCTTGAACAAGTCTTTGTGTGACTATATGTTTGTGTTTCTTTTGTGTAAATAATTGGAGGTGTGATGGCCAGGTCATTTTGTAGGCATGCTATTCTTTTAAAAATAGTATATTTTTCGTACTTTGGTCCTTTAGGGTGAATTAGATTAGTTATCTTGCTATTCTCCTACCCCTGGGAAGTAAAACACTCACTTGAGGGAAATGGAAAAGGCGATAAGAAAGGAAATACCCTAGGAAGGAAGTGAAGAAATGATTTGGATTAGGAACATTAGGGAAGGGCACATTTTGTTAGGCTTCCGAATCTGTGTACTGGGGAAAGTGAGCAGGAGAGAGCACTCAAGTGTTAAGAAGCCAAAGACTAACTTCATGGTGTCCTTTCCAAGTGAAACTTGTTTTTGCTGTACTGAGATTTCTAATGTTACTTCAAATGGGTCTAACTTTGGAGTCCTAATGATGCCGCCCGCATTGCTTTTACAGCGTACCCAGCTTGTCTGCTGCCACTGGTGGCTCACAGTCCATGATAGCCCTTCTGTTCCATAGGTCATTCCTTGACAAGAAGGGAAGTAAGAGAATGTCCATACTTTTCCAGATGGAATTGTTCCAATAGGTTTTCTTTGTGGCTGGATTTAAGAGAGCCCTTTAGCTGGGGCACTTAAGACTTCTGTTGTTTGTATGATTGTGAAAATAAACAAATGTAACTTATGGACAGGATATTAAATTTGGTAGCATTAATAAGATAATAAGAAAGGGAACTATTGAGATTTTAGCTGTTTTAGATATGACATATCAGCTATTCATTTTAAACATGCTATATTTGCTAATGTTGGATTTGTAGCAATCTATCATGTCATTAATTTTGACATATTTGTGCATTTTATTCTTTTTTTAAAACAAATTTTATGCTATGTCAGAGCACTGATTTCAGCACATATTTTCCATACTAAGAAGAAATATGCCTGTCAGTATTTTTAAAACATCAGCACTATAATTATTTTTTTTCTTTTTTTCTTTCTTTCTTTCCTTTCTTCTTTCTTTTCCTTCCTTCCTTCCTTCCTTCCTTCCTTCCTTCCTTCCTTCCTTCCTTCCTTCTTTCTCTCTTTTTCATTCTTTCTCTCTCTTTCCCTCCCTCCCCCTCTCTCTCTTTCCCTCCCTCCCTCTCTCTCTTTCTTTCCTCCCTACCTTCCTTCCTTTCTTCATTCTTCTTCTTTCTCCTTCTTCTCCTTCTTCTCCTTCTTCTCCTCCTCCTCCTCCTCCTCCTCCTCCTCCTCCTTCTTCTTTTCTTCTTTTCTTCTTCTTTTCTTCTTCTTTCTTTCTTTTTTGGCAGGACTTGCCAGGGCTAGAATGCAGTGGCATCATCATAGCTCACTGTAACCTCAAACCCCTGGGCTCAAGTGATCCTCCTCCGTCAGCCTCCTGAGTAGCTGGGACTATAGTCATGTGCCACTACGCCTGGCTAACTTCTAAAAGTTTTTGTAGAGATGGGGTGTCGCTATGTTGCCCAGGCTGGTCTGGAAGTCTTGGTTTCAAATTCCTGGCCTCAAGAGATCCTTCCACCTTGGCCTCCCAAAGTGCTAGCTAGGATTACAGGCATGAACCACTATGCTCAGTGGATTTAATCTACAATTTTTTTTCTAGATTTTGTGGTTTTTAAGAAACTTTAGGTTTTGTTTATCCTTTCTTTAAAGTTTTTCCAGGTAGTGAAACCCAAAAGTGGTTACTTCAAATTGAAACTGAAGGAGCTACTAATTCCATAAAAGGAGAAGTAGAGAGTAAGGGAGGTTTAGTACTATGGTGGGGAAACCAAAACAGTGAGGGTGCTGAATGTTAACCTTGTGCCTTTGCATTGATTACCGACATTTGCAATAGTATGTACCTGTAGAAGCCAGTACATATTCGCCATTCTGAGTGGAATATTTGGGAACACAAAAATGGACTCTTCTGTTAAAGAGAGAAAAGACTCTGCTTTGTCTTAAGTAATTTGAAACTGTTGAATTTAAAAAGGCTAGTACTTTGGATTTTAAAGTAATAATTTTTTGTACTTTTTTCTCAGTAAGATTTGAGTTAAAATGTACTTATGTACATTTTTTATAGTTCCAGGCCTAACAGGGGTCTGCATGGTAGTGGTGCTATTCCTCATGATTACAGCCTCTACATATGCAATAAGGTAAGTGCCAGAGTCATTATTTTGATGTTCAGCTGTCAGGTTATTTAGATTTTCTTCAGATTGTCTTCATTTTCCTATGTAGGAAAAGTTTTGATTAACCAAAGTATTTAACCAATATAGTGTCCTGGTTAATGGATTTTTCTGGGTAACTAAGAGTAAAGTAGAGATGTTTCTATTTATCATTTCTTGTTTGTGAAAAAGCCCTTTGTATTAATCAGATATTCTGGGCTGGTAAGGAATTGGGTATGGAGACTTAAATTGATGACCGAGGGAATTCGAGTTGTTCAGGATCATCCTTCTGAAGGATAGTGTGTATCTGTATAGAACTGGTATTAAAATCAATGTGTATACGTAGAGACTTTGAGGATTCCTAGGAATATATGACTTAAAATTATTTTATAACTAATTTCCTGATAATGAGTTTTTTGCTGTAATTTAACATAATGTTTTAAACAGAGCTTTGGAAACATGTTTGGTTGACATCTGCTAAAATAACTGGAAATATCTATTCATATTGATCCTTTCGGTTAAGACATTTTGAACAATTTCAGGTATATATTATCAGGAGTACTTTCCCATGTTCTTTCTGATGGACACATTCTATTTTTCAGAATATTTATAGTGTTTTATGTTTCTGATCAAACTTTTTAGTTAAAGAAAGCAAAAAGAAGAAACATAACATATATATTTCTTCTAATCTTCAAAAATTCTCAATTATGCTACTTGTTGAGATGTGAAATTTAATGGAAACACACAAATATATATATTTATATCTTCTACAAAATTGGGAAGATGTATCTCTTCTACAAAAATAAAAAACTTTTCATTTTTTTTCCACTTAATATCATATTACATGGGAAGCATGCAGAAAGAGTGGTTTTTTTTTTTTTTT